GCCTCCCCTCAGCCCCCTCCCCACCCTGAGCCCAGCCCCCGACAGCTCCCTCAGCCCGGCCCGGCTCCCCGCTACCCCCGCAGGCTCCCCCCGGGCCCCTCTATCCCGCCCCGGGGCCGCCGTTGATGCGCGGGGCCGCACCTCGGAGCCGATCATGTAGAACTCGCCGTCCTCCTCCAGCTGAAACTTGACGGGCTTTTGCCCGAAGGTCTTGCTCAGCGCCATCATCATCATCGTGGCGGCGGGACGGGGGCGGCGGGAGCGCCCGGCGTCCTGAGGGGCGTCCTGAGGCGGCGGCGGCGGCGGCAGCGAGGGGAAAGACGACGGGCGGCGCCGCGGCCTACTCCAGCCGCCACTCCGCGCATGCGCCGCCGCCGCGGCCCGCCCTCCCCCGGTCCCGCCTGAGGGGAGGATGGCGACGGGAGGGCAGCGCTTAGAAAAGAGGCGTTTTATTGGCGCGGGGCGGTACATAAATACAGAGAGTACTCGTACAGGGGGGCTGTGCAGGCTCTACAAACATTTACAGCGGCGTTCGTGGGGAGGGGCCGGCACCGAGACCCCCGGGGCCTGGGGTACAGGTCACCCCCCCCGCGGCCCCGCTCGCTGTCTCCAACCGGTCACCCGGGTCGGGGAACGGCGAGGGGCGCGGGTGGGTCGGCGGGTGAAAAGGGAAGAAATCGGCCGCAGCCCCTTTGGGGTTTGGTTTTGGGTTTGGTTTAGGGGTTTTTTTTGGTATAAGGTGATGTAGCAACGAGACTGTGCAAAGAGCTGGAGCGGGGCTGTACGGTGTCAGCCGCCAGCCCTGGGTGTCCGGGCGGACTGGGAACACTGGTACGAGACCGATCAGTGCAGTCGTGAGCAACCCAGGATGGGGAACCTGACTCGGTATGAGCACAGGGAGCGACGGGGCAGCGTCCAGCACTGGCACCCAGCACCGTGGAAGGAAGGGGGCCCCTTGTCTATGTACAAATCGGTATAAAATCCTAAGGCGTACTAGTGATGCAACATAAAACCGGGAGTAGGGCTGTGGCAGGGCCCTGGCAGTCACCGCGGCAGCCCTGGTGAAGTGACCCTGGCAGCAGCCGCACGTCTGCGTTCCTCCGCAGGTACAGTCGGTGTCCTTCAAAGCCCCTGGCTAAGGCTAAGGGAGGCGTCTCGGTGGAAGCCCTCCTCCAAGGCCAACGTCTGGAGCAGCAAAGGGCTGCTGTTGTGAGCTATGTAAACATAGGAAATGCCATCGGATCAGTTCTACAGGATGGGGTCCGCGTTAATTAGGAGAGCGTGATCCCGATCCAGGCTGGCTTGATGGCTTTTGGGATGCTATTGCTAGAAGAGCGTGGCCACGTTAAGTGTTTAGTGGCCGCTCTTGCCTGCAAAGAACACGGCAGATGCTTTTACATTGATAACAACTGAAGCTGGGGCTGCTGGAACTGGACAGGAGCAAACTTTGTCACTTGTTATGACAGACACCTGTTGTGTCAGATGCTGAGCCTGGAAGGAAGCCAGGAATGGCAGAGGGAACCCTCTGTGTGGCTGCTGGAGGTAAGGGCGATGAAAGGGGAGCGTGGAGGACACAGGCATCCCCCTCATCTGAAGGAGTTGGAGGAAGGTGTACAGCTGAAGAAGTCCTGGCTGATCTGGCGTGGGTAGCCCTCCAGCACTTTCACCTGGACTGGGTCAAACTTCCAGTAATCTCGACCTCTCAGGAAGTAGGCAAAACCTGTGGGTGAGAGAGGAAGGGTTAGAAGAGGCAGGGTTCGTGCAGCTCAGAGCTCTTTCCTAGCATTTTGTCTAGCTGACGCTGCAGCATGTGCAGTACCAAAAGAGAGCCTGGAAGAGGCAGGAGATGCTGCTAGATTATTTTCATTGAACCCAGGCTTGTGGCTTACACTGACTGTTCTTTCACACTGTTTTGGTGTTGATGGGAGAAAAAACAGGATGGATTTTATTTTATATGCCTGGTGGTTTTAAGTATGCTGTACCCATGTAGTGACCTGGCCCTGTGAGGGCAGAGGACGTCTAGAAGCTGAACAGGGCCTATGACAGGGAGCTTGTGAAGACCTGCTGCAGACCATCTGTTACTGTGGGGAAGCTGCCCTGGGATTTAGGCTCTGGAAGCAGCGGGAAGCCATGCCACTGCATCCTTTGGGAAGAAAGAGGTCGTGACCACACCTGTCATCCCAAGCATGCTGGCTGTCCCCAGTGTTTCTGTGGCACTACCATACTGTCTTCAGCATGGGGCACATCTGGGAGGACTAGGCAATACCAAAAGCGGCCTGTTCATTCAGGACAGCTGTCTAGGCTAAAGCGTGGGCATCGTTTCTGCTGTCTTCTCGTCACTTTCTATGTCAGGAGAGGTAACAGCTGGCTAGACTCTGTCCATTTCTTGGTCAGAAGTTTGAATTCTTTCTATCAGATACTTAAGTGTTGATTGTCGCAATGAATAATGATAAAAATTCTCACTTTTATGGGAGAAGCCTCAGTTCTCTACCCACTGGAGGGAGCTGCCCCTTTCTCTCTGCACTATATGGCATGTGCTGCGGCTGGGAAGCGTCCGCTACTACCAAATGTCTAAATCTGCCCAGTTCTTCCAGCTGGGCAGTGGTGTCAGCCTAAGCACCCACCCTAGAGCAGGCCACGTCCCTGCAGCACTGACCAAACTCATCCTGAAAAGCCGCGTCTATCTCCGGAGGGACGCCGCGCCAGTCAGCCATGGTGCGGGGGTAGATGTTGTCCACCTGGCGGGTGTGAGGGTTGAAGCGCCAGTAGTTGCCCCCACTGAAGATGTAGATCTTGTTCTTCTCAGCCCCCCACACCAGAGCTGCCTGCACAGGGGATGCAGGGAGTCCCAGCTCCACAGTCGGGGTGGGACCAGATACCCGTCTCTCACCATCATAAATCCAGTACTGAGAATCTGGCAAGGAGACAGAAAAGGGAGACAAGGGGTCAGAAGCTTTTTTGGTGTCTGATAATTTGGCAGTGAACTGCACAACTGCAGCTGGTGCCTTGGCAGAGTTCCTAGGGAAAGCTGCGCCTGAGAGGCAAAAACCCCACCAGTGTCATAGACACTGTCACTGATGGGTGCCCAAAGTGCCATCAGTGCAAGGAGTTGACTTCCCACCTCGGTCCAACCTGGAGGGTGTCAGTGGTGGGACGAGGAGGACCATTTTAGCAGATGTCTTTTCTCCTATTTGTGAAAGGTATAATAAAAGACTTGGCTGGAGGATACAGCCTCTGCCCTGCAAACTCAGCGCTTGGAGGAGAACATATGTGGGCATGCACAGGCATAAAGGGGGCATGTGGCTGTAAAGGAGCAAGCTACAGAAATGAGGAAGAAATTGCCAAGCTGAAACAGAGACTGGAAGCATATTTCCAGATTAGATTAAAATGGGAATCTCTCTAATTAGCCTACGGCATGTAATACTTTCCCCTTATCTCATTTTAACTCATGGTAGGAGCCTGCCAATTTTAGCACTGTAAGTCCTAGTGTGCAGGTCAGGTGCTAAGTAATCTGTTTATGCAGGAACACTGCCTGCAGAGCCACGTGGTGTGCTTTCTGGTACTCGGTCTCACAGCACGCAGACGGGGCATGCACACGCAAGGCAGCTGAGCACCCACGTCATTCTGCATCCCCACTATTAAATTTACACTTGGAAAGAGCACTAAGGAAAACAGTGGAGCTGAAACAGGGGTTGTGGCTGGTCTTGAACTCCAGAAGTGGCCAGGAGGAGGTTTGGCTCCCTGTGGGTGACTGGTTTTTAATCCCCGTGGTGGCAGGAGGTTGCCTGGCTCTGCACACAAGCCCCCTGTAGGCTCACTCAGTCTGGGGGTACTACTGAAGCTCTGCATCCAGGCCTCGGAGGTGCAGAGAAGATGCTGTCCATCCCCTGAGCAGGGCCTCAGGGGCACAGGCTCAGGAGTTTCACAACCTGTGAAAGCATCTGGGGCTGTCTTCTGGCGCAGTGCTTCCAAGGACAGCTGGGGAGATGGAGCGAGTGTTTCCTTCCTCCTCCTCTGCAGCATTGCCAGGGCAGAGGCTCAAAACAAGTGTTTGTGTTCCAGAGGAGGAGAATGGCATATCATGGCTGTGTCTAAAATAAAAGTGACCCCTCCTTCTCTCTTCCTCCCCAATATCTGCTAAAAAGTTTAGACTAAACAGAGAAAGAAACAAATAGCAAGGATCACTGGATTGCTGAGGATGCCCAGAAGGTTTTTTCTCCCAGGAACTTGTTGGGTCCTGAATACCCTTCAGTAAAGAAGACGCATTTCCGAGCTGTCTGATCCCAGTCCAGCTCTTACCTTGGAAAAACCAGATATTGCCCAGAGGGTCCTCGAAGGTGGCATCGACAGAGCTGGGGATCCCCTGCCAGTGGCGGGAGGCCAGGGCTGGGTAGCCATCCTGCAGCTTTCCAGCTCGGAGCCGCCACACATAGCGGGACTTGAAGAAGAACAGCTCCCCTCGGATGGTGGACGCGGCTTCGAAAGCTGTGTTGCAGGCATCAGGCTGCACAGACTGCCAAAGCACGGTCGGTCAGGTGCTTGGACTTGTGGGAGCCCCCCCTTACCCAGGCTGGGTTCGACAGACGAGAAGTCCCTGCGCCCAGGCCTTTACCCTGCACCGCATTTGGCCACCCTCACTTTGAGCCCACAGAAGGGCCATACATCCTCCTGATGTCTCATCAGCAAAGCCTGCTAACACCCTCTGCTCCTGGCAGCAGAATCTTTTCCTAAATGCTGTTTAAATCCAGCCCGTTCCTAAGGGACACTGCTCGGAAGAAGACCTCCCAGGCATGGTTAGGCAGAAGGAGGTTTCAACAGCAGGATCCCCTGCCCTCTGGCGTCTACAGCACTCGCTTCAGGCATGGCCTGGCCAAACAGCTCCAGGGCTGCAAAACTCTGTGGGTCGCTAATGCAACTGTCCTGCTTTCAGCTAGTTTTGGTTGGGTATGTGCTGCCCAAAGATCCCCTCCCCGCACATCCCAGG